TGTATGCCTGCTTCAACATTTCCTTCATTTGGTGCAGGAATTGTATCTTCAGTATAAACAGCATACACACAGACACACACAGACACACCACTTTTAATTGTTCTCAAAGACATGGAGGGGAGGAAAAAGGAAAAGTGGGACATTCTGGGATCAAATCAGAAACCAAGACAGCTTCTGTAATTCCAGGACTGTCCCTGGAAAATAGGGGCACTTGGAGGGTATGCAAATATATTTCCTTCCATAGACTTCCTGGCTGCTAGCTGAGTGTGTAGGGCATGCTTGATTACCAAAGAGGGCCGCCAACCAGTTTATCCATATCTGAATTCGTCTTTTAGCTTTACATTGCTGAATCATTTTAGAGAGAGCCAGAATAGCTAGTGAGCTCTTGCTTACATTTCGTCAAAAGCTTTGCTTCTGTTATTTATTTGCAAAGCCAATACAGCTGACCGTGGCCTGCTGTCAGGGCTGGTTTTCCACAGATGAGATAAGAAGCAAGCAACTATTCAGACAGGCAGTGCACTATAAGAGCTGTTCATCTGAGAGTGAAGAGACAGAGCAGAGCTAGCGGGTGGATCAGATGTAAGAGTTATAGGATCAGCTGGAATCCTACTGGCTGCTTGTATCACCTGATGCCTAATGAGTCAAGGCAGTGCTCACAACTAGGGGGAGGCTGCCAGATGTAAGGACTGCAAGAAAATAAGAGAATGGAGCAAGAAACAATGGGAAGAGCAGAAGCTAAAGCGAAGGTTGTTCCATCCAAAGAAGAAGAAAATTCAAAGTTTCCACAGCCCAAAATGCAGTGGTTTGGGGTCACTGTTTTCACCACTTATTGGATTATCTCTGAATCAGGGAAATTCAAATTTGGGGGGGGGGGGGGAGGAATGTATGCTGTAGACATCATGTGGACCATGCTGAATTAACAAGAAAACAAGCAGCTTTGTATCCCAGATTATGCTCTGGTGTGGACAAGGCCTGTGGTGTGATTTGGTGTTGAAGGGAGGCACAGAGTTTGTGCTGGAGTTTCCTGAGGGTGGTCTGTTATCCCCCACCCCCCAGTTTTTAATGTGATAAAATATAAAGACACACAAAAGTATTTATTCCTGAAGCCAAGATATAATTATTTGCATTGACTTTATTGCCGAGATGGTTCATAACTTCAGCATCGATGTTGCATGGTTTCAGTTTAGTACAATGGCAATTGTTATGGCCTGGAGAATAATAAATGGTATGATCTGGAATTGGCGCCATTTTAAAGCGGCCAATGTTTTACCACCCAGGAAGGTGGTTTCTATGAAGTGTGTCTTATGACGTACAGTGGTACCTCGGGTTGCATACGCTTCAGGTTACATACGCTTCAGGTTACAGACTCCACTAACCCAGAAATAGTACCTCGGGTTAAGAACTTTGCTTCAGGATGAGAACAGAAATTGTGCTCTGGTGGCACGGCGGCAGCAGGAGGCCCCATTAGCTAAAGTGGTACTTCAGGTTAAGAACAGTTTCAGGTTAAGAACGGACCTCAGGAACGAATTAAGTACTTAACCCGAGGTACCACTGTAATAAATAGTCCACATCACCCCCTTTTCAGAGATTTGGAAAGGAGCTAAACCCCAACAACTTTGGTCAGACTGGATACTCTGAAATCACATACACACTTCCTCAACAGATACAGGTTGTATCATCTACATATCTTATGACATAATTATTAAACTCTAAAAGGAGTGGGGGGTTTTTGTGTTTTTTGGCAAGGGGGACGTAGAGATGCCACCTACTAAACACCCCAGCAGCCACTGATAAGACTGGTAATTTTGGAAATCCCACAACTTTTGTAGGAAGCCTAGATATCCAAACTTTCCGTACCTTATGACAATAGTCCAAAAAGAAGTGAAGAAAAACAACAACAGCCAATGCCACCTGCACAATCCCAGTCTTACCATCATAGCTACTGGCTACCATTTCAACTAGGATCAAAGCCATGATGAAGACAAAGGTTGAATCTGGCTGGTTACCTCTACAAATGAAGATATAAACCAGAAATAATGCCCAAATCTATTGTGAGGCATTGGCAACATTGGCATGTGTAATGCCATGCTTTAAATCTACATAAAGTTAAATTGCACTGAAATCCCAGCCATTTCCACGGGTCTCATGCAAGCATAACTAAGCAGGATTTGCAGCCTTAGCTGCCTGCCAGGATGTCCATTTGCAGAAAACAAGGTAGGAGGAACTAATTACAGAGAATTCATTATGCCTTTGATTTACAATAACATTAAACAGAAAACTATTTGAAATATGGATTTGACTCACTTGACAGGGGTTAAATCATTCTTATAGAAAGTTTAGCTTGGAAGGGGGGAAAAAGAAACAAGAAAGCCCAGCCAAAAAAACAAACAAAAAACCTACTAATATGAATGGCCTGTGTTTCATATAACTGCTTAAGCTCAGACAGACAAATTGCAGGAAGCCAATTATTATTGATAGCAAACGTCAGGCAGGGAAAATGCAGAACTTTGAAAAACAACCTGAGAGACATCGACAGTGTTATGTATTCACATTAAAACAAGGTGCTATAACACTAATGACTGCTCTTGAAATCCTCTGACAACTCCTCAATCTTAATCAGTTACCAACTGTGGCCTTTCTACCACCATTAAATGTTTATTGTGCTTGTGGCACTAAGGGAAGACTCCTGCACAACCAGTGCAATCAGTCCTCATTCGAATTGGTTTAATAGTGCTTTAACAATAAGAGAAACACGTGCTGTTTTGATGCGCTCTCTCTCTCTCTCTCTCTCTCTCTCTCTCTGTGTGTGTGTGTGTGTCACTGTTCTGGAGCAGAAATCTATGGTCAGCCTTTGAAGAACCACACACAGCTAGTTCTCCACCCATGCCCAAAGGAGCTTGCTTGCATCCTAAAAACAACAACAGCATATGGAAACAAGAGAAAAGAGACATGGAGGGAAAAGGCGTAAAAGCAAACTCGAGGACCAATTCCTAAGCAGTAGTTCTTATAATGACCAGGTGGCACAGAAACAGATCAGGGGTGGGAGGTGGACTGATGGAGCTAGACTTTTGGCAAAGTTGATGGAACGTGTCCTGCTTCTCCTCTCTCCCACTGGTGGAATGGTGAGGTTTGAACTGTGGACTTTGCAGCTGCCAGAGCGATCCTCCTTGGCACCTGACTGGAGAGCGGGGGGAATCGGTTTGATGGAGGTTTATTCCTCCCATCCCTGCCAACCTCCACTGGCCTCCTGCTTACAGAGTGAAACTGGAGTTGATCCCAATGGCCGAGAGCTGCCCTTTCCCCCAGCCAAACATGTGAGTGGAAGTGCCACTGGTGCCCAGGTGCCGAGCTGCCCCCAAGATTGGGGGGCGGTGCATGGCACGTCTGTGTGCGACATGACACGCACCACACAGCATGTGATGTCACACACGTCTTCCAAGGCCATGTGGGCCTAGCAGAAGTGTTGGGAGATGTTGCAAAGGCTGGTGCAACCTTACTAGACAGTTCAGCCTCCTCTGCCTCCTCAATGTTTGGGAGGGTGAGCCCCCTGATAAGGAATATGGAGGGGGCTGACAAAACCTCCACCACTAGAGTTGGTGTTCCTGCACTGGTGTGATCCCCACTGGCAGTTCCCGGAAATGGGGCTTTCCAGGGGAGAGGAGTCCTGCTTGCTCCCCACCTGGCTGCCAGGCACAACAGCCTTGCAGATATGGCCATAGTCCTACTGCTGCACAAAGACTGCTGAGTCTGGGTAGTTCCCTAAGGGTCACTAAGATGCAGAAGCTCAGAAAGTGTAAGCACAGGAAGAAAGACCGTGAGCCGCAGCACTATATGAAGGAGAGAGAAAGCGTTAAAACAATACCAGGCCCACACATACATTCAAAGATCACGGCTGTGCTGCTTGCCAATTAAGCATCAACATTCACACTTGCGCACAATCAAAGAGGCGACTCTTTGCTTAAGGCAGAATTTACCCACACACTAGTAAAGCCCTTAACAACAATGGACACCTGTTCAAGACTCACTTATTGCCTAATTAAATATTAACATGTCTTGATCCAATCTGTGGCATAATTTTAATTACTGTTGTCTCTTAGGATAGCCACATAATCAATGTATTTAGAGCTGTTCCTAGAGGCTATTTTGTAATTCAAATTGTGATCCATCATTACAATATTTTCCTCCGGATTGCTGTTAGAAAAACCAGCCCCATTAAACTCTCCTAAGGGGAGGGAGCGGGGATTAAAATAGCCCAGTTTCTTTTTAAACAAAGTGAAAACTTATTTGAGACCTAAATGGAACCAACTATTGAAACCAATTTGCAAGCAGCTGCTTCTGTTAACACTGTAGCTTTTCCTAGATTAATCTTCAGCATGGCCAACCCACAATGCACCTATTAGTATTTAATACATGGAAACACTGCACCATGTTTATGTTTTGATTGTGCTGGCTTTCAAAAAGCAAGCCTCACAGTGCACATCTATGCAGAAGCAAGTCCTACTTAAAAAAATTAATTATCTTTTATTGAGGTTTTTTTAAAAAATAATAATGGGAAACTACGGCAGACGAAAACACCATAGTGAAATGCAGACTCTTAAATGCAGTCATCTACCAAGGCTAATGCAAGTACACATTTCAATCATGCTTTGGATTGCAAAATTAGATTCATGTTAATTCTTCATTTCCCTGATTTTATAAATGCGCCTTAGTATCCAAGACCTAGCACAAAAAACACCTGGAGATTTTTTTAAAAAAGGGAAAAAACAACAACAACCAAGTGATAGGATTATTTTTTCATGATCCACAAACATGCATACACTGGAGGAAGAGAATGGCTGTGCTCTCTGTTACTTGTGTGATCAATAAGATCCAAATAGCTGCAAAAGGATCGTGATTGCACTGCCCCCACAATATCACGAATCTCTGTGTTTTTACTATCTAGTTAGCTGTTCAAAACTTACATGCTGCTTAACTACAGTTAACTCTAAGCAGATAACAAGGCATAGCTCAGTTGGTAGAACATGAGACTCACAATCTTAGTGATGTGAGTTCAAGCCCCATGTTGGACAAAAAGATTACTGCATTGCATGGGGTTGGATTAGATGACGCTTGTGGTCCCTTATGTCTATGATTCTATGATTTAGACATAATATAAGGAAGCAAAAATCAGTTAAAATAATAAAATCAAAAATTCAGCAGGTGCTAGAAGGGAGAGGGCATTCCATAAAATTTGGCCCACAATCCTAAACACATAGCTCCTGGTGGATCCAAGCTGTGCATATGAACAAACTAACAGTGACTCCCCTAAAGATTTCTGTGATAGGACAGGGATATAAGGGATTAGGCAGTCCTTAATGTTTCCTAGGCCCAGTGGAGCTGCAGTTCAGCCACATTTTGGAGGGCCACACTATGCAAAGATTGTGCACCATTAGCAGATGAAAAACTGCCATCAGCATGATGTTCAGATCCAGGCTACATAATACATTAAATGATTCCTTTAATGTGTCTGACTGCTGCTGTTGTTTTAAAAAAGCAGTGATGTCCTCATCCCCCTAATACGAATCTAGACCACTGCACAGAGGGAGAGGGAGTTTAGCTTTCCCCTCCACACAATGGTTCTGGTGAAACTTCCCAATCCCCATCAAAGCTGCTGTACATTCCAAGAGTAAAACTGAAACATAAAAAATGTACTCTAGTTGGGTCCTTATTCTGGTTGCTACTATGCTCTGAGCAAGAAAACACAGCCTCACTCTGATTTCATATCAACACAAAAATCAGTAGCATAACGACATCTTAGTAACAACAAAAAGGCAGAAGGAGGTCACTTTCTGTAGAGAGGATTCTGGATGGAGACACCTTGTGCCAGTGGTTCTCAAGGGGTGCATTACACCACTCTGGTGTGGCAGGAGAGGGTGGCAAGCGTGGCAGGAAGATGCAAGGGCAAACAATGGGACATTGAAACATTTCACTGTAGTATAGTATGTCATCAGTATCAGAAAAGAGAAAGACTTCTTTGTGTTGATTAGGAGATGAAATTGTTTGTCTCAAATTAGACCTAATATAAATGAAATTACCCAGCAAAAGCAAGGTCACATATCTCATTGAGTTTGTTTACATACTTAAGGTGCAAATGTAAGAGGCTCCTTTATAATTATATTTTGGGAATGATTCGTGTTCTTATGTGGCTGCATTGTTTTATACTTTCTGAATGTCCTATAATCAAATTATAAAGTAGATCTTATAAATCAAGCACCGCTAGGAGTTGTTTCTTTTCGTTTTCCAATGTATTTCTTATCAATAAAAAACCTGGTGTGGCGCAAGCAAATTTTTATTCTGAAAGTGTGGCCCAGAGAAAAAGGTTTGAGAACCACTGCCTTATGTAAATATTAATAAGGTTCACTGGTATAAACTCCTACAGAGATAAAAATCTGGCTCTGGTTACAGGACTGCTGTAAAGCAAAATGACCCTTTCTTCATTTTTTCAGGATAACAACATACGGACAGAGCATACGAAACACAAAAACTTCTGTTCCCATTACAGGGACATATCAGCACATGTGGTGCAAGTGTCCGTAAAAGAATTTTTTTAAAGAAAATTGTATTTACAGAATTATATTTAATTACAAGGCAGATAATTCCAGTGAGTCCAGGACTGACCTCTACTTAATTTGTATAGCCAAGATATGTTGCAAATTAAAAATAAAGAATTAATAAAACATATATTAGCCGCTGCATGAACCACCATTGCCAGGACATAGAAATCATTACAATGACTATGGATCAATAGTATAATGCAATTTGGCATACAGAATTGTTTTGCAAACTGACACAAATTTAAAAGTAGTAAGTGTGATTTTATTGATTATATGAAGAATGAGCCATATGGCTACAGGTGAAACTCAAAAAATTAGAATATTGTGGAAAAGTTCATTTATTTCAGTGAACCAACACCAGCTGATGACATGGCTCCCCAAAACTCTTTTCTGATGAGAGCAGCTTTTGCATCTCATTTGGAAACCAAGGACCCAGAGTCTGGAGGAAGAATGGGGAGGCACACAATGCCAGATGCTTGAAGTCCAATGTGAAGTTTCCACAGTCTGTGTTGATTTGGGAAGCCATGTCATCAGCTGGTGTTGGTCCACTGTGCTTCAGTAAGTCCAGGGTCAATGCAGCCATCTACCAAGAGATTTTGCAGCACTTCATGCTTCCTTCCACAGACGAGCTTTATGGGGATGCTGATTTCATTTTCCAGCAGGACTTTGGCACCTGCCCACACTGCCAAAAGTACCAAAACCTGGTTCAATGCCCATGGGATTACTGTGCTTGATTAGCCAGCAAACCCACCTGACCTGAACCCCATAGAGAATCTATGGGGCACTACCAAGAGAAAGATGAGAGACATGAGACCAAGCAATGCAGAAGAGCTGAAGGCTGATATTGAAGCTTCCTGGTCTTCCATAACACCTCAGCAGTGCCACAGGCTGATAGCATCCATGCCACGCCGCACTGAGGCAGTAATTGATGCAAAAGGGGCCCAAACCAACTACTGAGTACATGTGCATGCTTCTACTTCTCAGAGGTCCAATATTGCTCTATTTGCAGTCCTCGTTTTGCTGATTCATTTAATATTCTAATTTTCTGAGATTGTTAATTTGGGGTTTTCATCAGCTGTACGCCATAAACATCACAATTATAACAAATAAAGGCTTGATATATCTCACTTTGCATGTCATGAGTCTATCTCATATATTAGTTTTACCTTTTAAGTTGAATTACTGAAATAAATGAACTTTTCCACAATATTCTAATTTTTTGAGTTTCACCTGTATACAGAACCCTGTGGTTCAGAATATTCAGAAATGTTTATCTGAGCATATACTGTTGTTTTACTTTTATTCTCATTTTATGCAACTGTTGCATGTCTTGTGTCTATAGAAAGACAGATATAGATATATAGTTTCTGTTCACTGTAATCATGTTTGGGCACATGTGCTCCAGCACTGTCAATGTTTCCTTCACAGAATTATGTCAAGTTAATGTATGGCAGCAAGGTGCATGACTTTCTAGTAATTCTTGCAATCAAGATGAGTCTAAAAATGGTTGCCAATTTAGCAATAATGGTTAGAGTCCCACACATGAGTATACAAGTATACTTTTTCTGGATGGCCCCAATATAGTTCCCTGGAAAACATTAGCTGCTCCTGCTGTACATATGAATTGGTATATCTTTTTCATTCCTCTGCAATTTTAGACACACTCACTTTTAAGTAAGCTCCACAGATTGGACCCATCTAAGAAATTCAAATCAGGATCGAGATATTAGTCAGACAAACAAAAATTGCTTCCTCGCACAACACACAAAAATTGCCAAATGGTGCTGCTGGGTGGTATTTTCAGACCAGAGCCTTACTGTGTATATGGCTGGAAAATTGACAAAACTGTGCAGGAAATAAAACATGGAAATGTCAATTTTACCTAATTCAATCATTGATGCTAATCCAGCACTTCTACAGTGTGTAAGAGATTCAAACCATTTTAAGTCAATACTTGACTTTACTGGGATCTTTATTATAGATTTTGATCATGGCTTGCAGCCTTATCTACTTGAAAATCCATGAAATAAACCAAATGTTTTCCCTTAAGCTCTGGTAATAGCAATGTGCCGGGTACAAGCTATAAGAGTCCTTCTCCACCATGTACGCTTCCCTTTTAAACATTTAAGAGATGTGGGTGAACTATACAAATGAACACAGTGGATATACTTATTGTATACCAGAATTTAAAAGTAAATCATTTGCATGCTTAGATAGATTTACCCGCTGCCTTTGACTCCATTAATCGTACCAGATTGTGGGAGAAACTCCTAAACACCAATATAGAACATAGACTCCTCTTGTTGATCTGAGAGCTGCGCAGCGATACCGACATGAGAGTCAGAGTGGGCCTAAATGGCTGCTTGTCTCAATTTTTCAAGTCAACTAATGGTGTAAAACAATGCTGCATTTTAGCCCTCTCGCTTTTCAATTTCTACATCAATGATATAGTTCTACATTTAGTCCAAGCTCATTTCCCCTCTCCAGTATTTAGAAACAGGAAGGTGTCCTGCCCGCTGTATGCGGACAATATAGTCCTTCTTTCTCTTTTGTGTGACATGGGTGGTGCTGTGAGTTAAACCATAGAGCCTAGGACTTGCCGATCAGAAGGTCGGTGGTTCGAATCCCTGCGACGCGGTGAGCTCCCGTTCCTCAGTCCCTGCTCCTGCCCACCTAGCAGTTCAAAAGCAAGTCAAAGTACAAGTAGATAAATAGGTACCGCTCCGGCAGGAAGGTAAACGGCGTTTCCGTGCGCTGCTCTGGTTCACCAGAAGTGGCTTAGTCATGCTGGCCACATGACCTGGAAGCTGTACGCCGGCTCCCTTGGCCAATAAAGCGAGATAAGCGCCGCAACCCCAGAGTCGGCCACAACTGGACCTAATGGTCAGGGGTCCCTTTACCTTTACTTTACCTTCTCTTTCCTGTCTGGACCTTAAAAACCTCCTGGAGGCTCTCAATTCATATTGTAAGCAAGACCACCTCCAAATCAAAAACCACGGTCTTTGGAAAACGTAGCCCCCAATATTAATGGACCCTTGAGCACCATGAGCTAGAGCAAACCCGTGTTTTCAAATATCTCAGAATGCTTTTTAGTGAAACATAGACTTGGAAGCGGCACATCAAGGTAGTAAAAACCGGAGCACAGAGAGAGATTGGGCCTCTGGTGAAGTTTTACTTCACTAACGGTTGGAAACAGTCTGAGTCCGCGCTAAAAATATTTGGCAGTAAACTGATCCCTCCAATGCTTCATGGAGTTGAAAGCTGGGGCGAGAATGAGAGTGCTATTAAAGGGTTAGAAATGGTGCAAATCCAATTTCTCAAGAGATTGTTTTCTTTACCCAAGGGAACAGCAGCTGCACTCCAACGCATGGAAGCTGGGTGGCCAACGTTGACAGCAAGAGCTGATTGCACCAGATTTAATTACCTGAAAAGACTGTCCTCCATTCATTGTGAGCACTTGCCAATCCTGTGCTATG